TAATAACTTAGGTGAAGATAAAATTCTTGGTTGAAAATAATGTTATTCTACCCTCTGATTTGATTAATAACTTAGATAAAGATAAAATTCTTGGTTGAAAATAATCAGTTACTCAGAATTTTGAAGGCATCACCTCATTGTCCTCTAGCCTTTAATCTTGCTATTGTGAAGTCAAATACTTTGTATGTGATATATTTTTTCTCTCATTAACTTTTCAGGTTCTTCTCTTTATCCCCAGTGTTCTGGAAACTCATAATGCTCTTTTGTTGGGCTCTAAGTGGACCCTTTAAATCTGAAAACTCAAGTCCTTCAGAGCTGGGAAAGTATTTTGGATTGATAATTTGCTCCCACCATTTTCTGTTTTCTTTCTGGACATTCCTATTGGTTTGATGATGTATGACTTGGATTGTTCTAATTTTCTTCATTATCATATTGTCCACCAAAGTATAAGCTACATAAGCACAGGGAATCTTTGTCAGTTTGTTGTTGACATAATATATTCCAAGAGCCTAGAACAGTACCTGACACATAGTAAGCATTCAAGCAATTTTGATGAATGGAAGCTCTCTTTTTGCTCTTCTTACTAGAGGCCCGGGCACAACATTCGTGCACTCGAGCAGGGGAGGGGGTCCCTCAGCTCGGCCTGCACCCTCTCTCAGTCTGGGACCCCCACAGGTGTTGTCCGCCTACTGGCTTAGGCTCAATCCCCCTGGAAATCTCTCTTGCAGTCTGGGGCTCTCACATTCCAGCACCCCTTGCCCCTTACCATCTGCCTGCAGTGGAGGCAGGAGAGGCTCCCGTCACCGCCTCTGGGCTTGCCAGCTGTGAGCCTGGCTTCTGGCTGAGTGGCACTCCCTCTGTGGGAGTGCACTGACTACCAGGGGGCTGCTCCTGCATTGAGTGTCTGCCCGCTGGGGGGTCAGTGATTCAGCCATTTGGTCGATTTGCATATTAGGGTTTTATTATATAGGATGTGTGAGTTCCTCAACTTTATTTTCAAGCCTGGTTACTGAAATTTTGGTATTATATTTTAATTTTTCAGGAGCTTTTTGTTCTTTGATTATTCTTTCTTTTATATAATCATGATCTTGTTTTAGTGAGGCAATATCTTATTTCTTTAAGAATATTATTGTTTTGTAGACATTTTCTTTTGTTCTCTACACTGTCTGTTTTGTTTGTTTCAATCTGTCTTTTATCTTTGTGTTGGCCTCTTTCAAGTGGAAGTTTTCTTTCAAATGACTAGTGACCTCTGGATATCCATTTCTATTTAGAGGTGAAGAACTAAAATGTATATTGGAAGTTGTGCTGCATAAAAATGGAGCTTAGTAACTTGTGGATAGACTTATTACCTGAAATTTCTAAGCATTTTCAGAGTCTTCTAAACTTCTTTATTGTTAGTATTCCTTTCTAACCCTTAACTTTCCTTTTAGCATTTATTTATTTAACCTTTATCTCTAACCACCATCACCACCAAACTATTCATAAGCCCTACAGACTCAGCAGTTATTGGCTGCCATTCCATTTTATTTCACCCTTTATTTCTCTCTCAGCCAGCTTTTCCTCTTCCTATTTTCCTTCTTTTTCTACCTCAATATTTACTCAGCATCTGCTACAAGGCACTGTGCTAAGTGCTATCGGTACAGAAATTAATAAGACATGGTCCCTTCCTTCAAGGCACTCACTAATTAGGGAGGGAGATAGTTGTACAGCCAATGGCATCAATATAATGTCATTCTTGCCATTATACAGGGATGCAACGGTTGCTATGGGAGGCCAGAAGAAGAGCATAGGGAAACCTTCCTGGAAATATGATGTTTGAGGTGAAAAATGTGCTGTATTAGTTTCCTATGGCTGCCATAACAAATTGCCACAAATTGATTACCATCAAACAACATTCATGTATTATTTCCTAGTTCTATAGGGGAGAAATCTGGCTATAGGGTGGCTTGGCTGGTTCCTATGCTTTGAGTCTCATAAGGTCAAACCAAGTTATCAGCAGCTGTATTCCCTTCTGGGGCTCTGGAAATAAACTCACTTCCAAGCTCATTCAGGTTCATTGCCAAATTTAGTTGCCTGCCAGAGGCCAGTCTTTGCTCCCAGAGGCCATCATTCCTTCCACTGATATCCATATGGCTTCCTTCTAGCAACAGTTGGTTTGTTATAGGCACCTCTCACCAACACCAGAGAGGTGTTACCGGACAGCCCCTTGAGTCAATGCGAGAGGGCTGTTCCCAACCTCTACCCTTGTCTTCTCATATAAATGAATTTTTTCGAGAGAACTTGACTGTGTTGTGAAAAGCCAATTTACCAAAACAATTAAAGCATGTACCTTTATTGAAAAAGCAAAGCAAGGAAACCTATACATGTAGCTTATAAAGCACCGACGGGCTCTCACTAATCTGAAGGGCAGGTTGGGTGCGGGTCTGAGGTATTATATACCCTCCTGTCTATAGGTCTCAAAATTCTTCCGCTATTTTAGTACAGATTAATTCTCAAGGTCTTTTTTTTACTTTGTTGTGGCCTTCTCAGAATTTATGAGAAGCACCTGGCAACTTTATCTTGCCAAGCCTTGAGACTACTGGCTTTTCTGTTTAGGGAGTAAAACTGCCCTTTTTTTCCTTTCCCCTTTTCCCCTTCCTTTCTGCATTCTCTCATTAGGGAGGTTGTAAACCATTTGCTCTCATGTCCTTGGCTGGGAAAGATAATGGTTTGTTAGTTACAAGCTGGCTGCAAATTGCCCACACTGTTTGGCCTTGTTTTAACTTTCCTGTTTCAGTTTCCCTACTCCTCCTGCCATGGAATCCTGTAACAAGTTGAATTTCTCTCACACTTCAAACATCTCTTATTTCCCCGTCTGCCACACCTCTCTGACTCCAGCTGGAGAAAGTCCTCTGATTTTAAGGGCTCCTGTGATTAGATCAGTCCAACGGGATAATCCAGGATTATCTTCCCTATCTTGAAGTCCTTAACTTTAATTACACCTGCAAAGATGCTCTTGTTATATAATGTAGCATATTCATAGGATCCAGGAATTAAGACCTGGATAACTTTAGGAGCCATTCTATCTACAATAATTGCATGCAGGAAAAATGGGAGAAAGAGTATTCTGAACAAAAGCCTGAAAAGGTGAGAAAACATTTATTTCAGGAAATCACAAGCAGCTCAATATGACTGCCGCATGCATCAATTAGGTTGGACAAAGAAGCAGGAGACAGATAATAATGGGTCCTCACTCTTCCATCTCTCCTGTTCTCCTTAGTTTCTTTTGGGTGCATGATGATTAGAATGTTTATCATAATGATTAGAATGTTTCATTTCAAATCTCCCATATTGCTAGTTGAAACTATATGTCCTCCCCATGTGAATTTATCCTGGTTGATCCTAGTCTTCATCATGAAGTTATGCCAGCCACAGCTATCACATTCATCTCACTGTTCAATTTACCTTTTCAGTGATGCATTTGCCATCTGGATGGCCATATGAAATCCTGCGAATCCTGGTTTAATTTTCCCACAACATTACTTTCATCAAGTCACTACATTGCTAAATGGATCCTGATGTCTCTTATTTGCCTGTGGAAACCAAACCAAATTCTTAAGCCTGCATTGCCAAGTCTGAGTTTACCCTACTATGCCAACATTTTCGCATACTCTTTCCTAGTCGGCTTGACCTCTTCTTTGCCTTCCGTCCACCATATTCACTCTCTCAGGTCTTTGCTCTTGTTTCCTTTTTTAAAAATCAGAATATCTTATTCCCTCTCCCTTCTTGAATCCAAATTGTGCCTAGCATTTCAGACATCATATATTGTATACATCCTTCATAAAACTTTCCCCAAAAGTCCAGCTCCCCATTAACCCTTTATTCCTCTTCCTAACTTCCTACAACTCCTGATGCATGTCTGTACTATGCAGATTTGTACTAAATTATGTGCATTTCAATCCTCATTACAAACTTTGACTTTAATGATGCCATGCGTCGAAGTCTCATTTTTTTCCAATTGTACTATAAGTTACTTGAGCACAGGTCCCATGTCCCAGTAGATTTTGGATGGGATTTTTTTTTTTTAGCTCTTATCCAAATACTAGATATTTTGTATACAATTTAGAGAAATGTGAAAACGCATATGTATTTCTGTTCCGTGTGTAAATTAGTCACCTAAACTGAAACTCAAGAGGAGAAGCTTTCCCATAATATTATTATTTTTGGACAGAATTATTAAATATTTATCTCTGGCATCAGAAGTATTTTACCAAGTTTTTCTTTTTATTTACACATTTCCATGCCAATGATTGTGTGTAGTTGTACTTGTTTTCTCTAGCTTTCCCCACAGGCCAGTATTCTTTCACTTGATGAAACATGTGGATGATTTATTGATGGTGGTGTTATTTAATCTAATTCTTGCATAGTTTTCACCAGGAAATGATGAGAGGAGAGAACTCCCCTTTGGAGAAGCTGCCAAACTTTGCCCTAAGACATTTTGCAAATAAGATACTGGATTTATTGCAAAACATATTCCAACATACAAAAGTGTATAGTAAATTCCATTCCAAATCACAAAGTCCATAACTTTCTAACTAGAGGGCTTTAGGAACTCAAAAACCCAAATCTTTCTTTGATTCTAAGCAGAAAACTATTACTGAAAGTGCCGACAGTTGATAAGTTTGAGACATATGGTCCTATTCTCTTTGTCCAAAATGAGAATGGTGGGTTTCGCAGTAAATTGATAGTGTAAGTAAATCTAGCACTTGAAAGAATTTAATTAAATTTCCCCCATCTTCAGTGTAAACACCAGACAGAATATATCCTTGTGGTAAGGAAAGGTAATGGAATTCCCCCATGGCAAATGGCTATTGCACTAGACTAGCTCCTGTAGAAAAGGCAGGAATGATGTTCATGTAGGATAGCCTGTAGTTAACAGCAGATAAGGACTCTCCAATTTTGAGAGAGAAATATATCACAACTAGCATGTCTGCTTCTGAGGAACACCAACCTTTCCTTCCTGTGAACTGTAACATAATAGTTGATAGGTTCCACAGCAAAGGGGGAAGAACCCATCTTCACCAGCCTGGTAAACAATGTTGCAAGTGCAGCCACTGAATGGGGGTAAAAAGGAATGGAAACATGTAAGGTGCAGACTTTAGTTGAGAAATATTCCAGGATAATACTAACAGCTAGGAAACTAACAACTACTTGGGGGAGGGGGTCTAGAAACCCGAACTAATTGAATTTTTGTGACTCTTGTTTTTCAATAAGAAAAGGAGTTCTTGCAGAAAGCTTTTAAACCAACTCAGATAAATATGCAATAGATGGTGATGTACCACCCCAAATCCAGTTGTGCCATTCAACACCATGTTTACATGGAAAATATCTGTAAAAAACATTTAGAAACAAAATTTTGCAAACATAGATTTTTCTAACTTTGTGTAGGTAGGACTTGAAGCTATTTCTAAAACAATGGCAATATAGATTGAAGAGTGGTTATAGGCCTGAATCTGAGCAAAGTTGTGAAGACAAAAGTTGTTTCATCTTTTTTTCTGTGCCTCTTCCCTTCCCACAGCCCATTTCAGTAGTATCACTCAGAACCACTTACAATTGTTCTTTGCACCTCTGCCTTTATGTTCATGTACTTCCTTCTGCCAGAAGTGTCCTTGTCTCCTTGCCTCTTGTCAGCTTGAGGGAGTCCTTCTCCTTCAAGAATCAAAAGGCACCTCCTCCATGAAATTTCCCAGCTTCCCCTCCACCCCCACAAGAGGTAACTTCTGCTTCCTTTGTGCTGCTTCCTACATAGAAACTAACAAAAGTATTCATCATCACATCTGCAACATTTTCTCATGTCTTTACATGTTTGTTTCTTCCCTCTAAAATTGTAAGTTTCACTGAAAACAGGATCATGCATTTTTAACACCCAATATATCTGTAGCCTTTATTGCAGGAAACAGCACATAGTAGTTGATTAATAAATGTTTTCCAAATGAAAATTAATTTAAATAATTAAGTGTAAGGAATAAAGTAAATGTAATGCTAAAGCAGTGTGTCTCAAAAGGATCATTTTCTCATTTTTGATTATTTTATTGATCAATCCCAGTAAACACCTAGTTCTAGTTGATTTATTTGCAGGAATGTAAGAATAATATTTATCTCTACTCTGGCACTTAGATCGTCTGCCTCACATTTCTTATTATTATACATTTTATTCTTTCTCTAATAGACTGCCAGTTTCTTGAGGACAGATAAATGTTTCCTTTGTTCATTGTACACAATAGGCACTCAATAAACATTTGCTGAGTTAATGAATTCCTTATGTGTATATAGCTCTTCACAGCAACCCAATGAAAAATGTAAAACATCATTCACTCTCTCCCTTCTCTTGTCTTAGTTAAATAAACTGATGATCAAAATATACCAGAGCCCATATGGCGCAACTCAGTGGTTGAGCATTGACCTGTGAACCAGGAAGTCAAGGTTCATTTCTGCTCAGGGCACATGCCTGGGTTTCGGGCTCGATCCCCGGTGGGGCATGTGCAGGTGGCAGCCAATCAATGGTTCTCTCTCATCATTGATGTTTCTATCTCTCTCTCTCCCTCTCCATTCCTCTCTGAAATTGATAAAAATATATTTTTTAAAAAAGAATATACCAGAGACTTGACCACCTTCAAACAGTGGGCAAGAATCAGGGCTGAAAATCCTGGGAGACGCCCTGCTTCTCACACTATCTTTTGCTCCTTTCCTGTTTAGACCAATCAGTTTCTCTCTGCAGGGTCACCCTTTTGGATAATTGTCCACATTTGGTTCATTAATGTAAACAACCTAATTGAATGATGTGCTTTTGTTCTTTTTTTTTTTTTTTTGCTAATTTCAACTTTTATTAGCTTGCAATATAGCATAAAACAAGTATTTTTGTTTTTTAAACAACAGATTTATTTTATCACAGTTCTAGAGACTGGAAATCCAAAGATCAAGGTGTCAGAAGCAGGGTTGATGTCTAGTGAGAGCTCTCCCCTTGGGTGGCCCACCATGTGCTCTGATGGCCTTTCCTCTTTGCTCATGCAGAGAAAGAAAATGAGCAAGCTCTCTCTTGTCTCTTCCAATAAGGATACTAATCTTATCAAAGTCCCATCTTCAGGACCTCACTTAATCTTAATTGATCCCTTAAAGGTCCCCTGTCTAAGTATAGTCACACTGGGGGGATTAGGACTTCATATGAATTTTGGGGAATACAAGCATTCTAGCAAAAACATCTTGTACAGTACTCTGTATCTTTTTGGTGAAACAGCTACAATCTAGATTGTTTTTAAAGCTTCTCAGCTCAAAATTGTACTTTGTATTTTTAAAACATTTAAAAAATTGAGATATAATCCTATCTAATAAAAGAGAAACATGGGATCTGGAAACAGCCTAAGTGCCCATCAGTAGATGAATGGATTAGAAAACTGTGGTACATCTACACAATGGAATACTATGCTGCTCTAAAAAGGAAGGAACTCTTACCATTTGCAACGTCATGGATGGAACTGGAGAGCATTATGCTAAGTGAAATAAGCCAGTCAATGAAGGAAAAATACCACATGATCTCACTCATTCATGGATAATAGAGACCATTATAAACTTTTGAACAATAATAGATACAGAGGCAGAGCTGCCTCAAACAGATTGTCAAACTGCAGCAGGAAGGCCGGGGAGGGTTGCGGGGCAGGAGGTAGGGGGGTAAGAGATCAACTAAAGGACTTGTATGCATGCATAGAAGCATAACCAGTGGACATAAGACATTGGGGGATAGGGGAGGCTAGGGGACTGTCTACGGCGGGGGGATAAAATGGACACATATGTAATACCCTTTGTAATACTTTAAGCAATAAAAAAAAAAAAGAGAGAGAAACATGGTAATTAATGTATGACCGCTACCCTTCCCATTGGCTAATCAGGGCAATATGCAAATTAACTGCCAGCCAAGATGGCGGCCGGCAGCCAGGCAGCTTAAAGCGAACATGAGGCTTGCTTGCTTTAGTGACGGAGGACTCCAATGTTCCCCGCCTGCCGCGGCCGGCCTCTGAGCTGCAACTCTAAGCAACTATGTTACAAATATAGAAGCTAAACAAATCCCCAGAAACCTGCTTTAGTTGCCAGGCTTCAGCCAGCAGGATCACAACATTGTTTCAAATACAGAAGGTAAACAAAGGCCAGAAACCTGCTTTCAGCAGAGGAGGCCTAAGAGCTGGAGCCAAGCCTCAAAGCTAAAGCTGGCCCAGAATAAAAAAAAAAAGAAGAAAAGGAGCAGTTGGGAGCTTCAGTCACCCACCAGCCTGAAAACAGCCCTCAGCCCCTCACCCAGACTGGCCAGGCACCCCAGTGGGGACCCCCACCCTGAAGGGTGTGTGACCAGCTGCAAAAAGCCATCATCCCCTCACCCAGGCTGGCCAGGCACCCCAGTGGGGACCCCCACCCTGATCCAGGACACCCTTCAGGGCAAACCAGCCGGGCCCCACATGTGCACCAGGCCTCTATCCTATATAGTAAAAGGGTAATATGCCTCCCAGCACCGGGATCAGCGGAGCTGCGAGGCCTCCCAGCACCGGGATCAGCATGACAGGGGGCAGCGCCCAAACCCCCTGATCACCCTGTGGCTCTGTGTGTGACAGGGGGCGGGGCCACAACCTCCCTATCAGCCCTGCTCTGTTCGTGACAGGAGAAGGCGCCCCAACCCCCTGATTAGCCCTGCTCTGTGCCTGATAGGGGGGAGCTCCCCAGGCCCCTGATTGCCCTGCAGCTCTGTGTGTGACAGGCTGCGGTGCCCCAACCCCCTGATCGGCCCTGCTCTGTGTGTGACAGGGTGTGGCGTCCCAACCCCCCACACCGCCCATGGACCCTGCTCTGTGTGTGACAGGGTAGAGCCATAACCTCCCCATCGGCCCTGCCCTGAGTGTGAGAGTGGCAGCGCCCCAAACCCCTGATCGGCCCTGCCCTGTGGGTGATAGAGGGTGACGCCCCAACCGCCACCCACGGGCCCTGCTCTGTGTGTGACGGGGTAGAGCCATAACCTCCCCATCGGCCCTGCCCTGTGACAGGGTGCGGTGCCCCAACCCCCTGATCCGCCCTGCTCTGTGTGTGACAGGGGGTGGTGCCCCAACTCCCCTATCAGCCCTACTCTGTGAGTGACATGGGGGAGCTCCCCAACCCCCTGATGGGCCCTGCTCTGTGCGTGACAGAGGGGAGCTCCCCAACCCCCTGATTGGCCCTGCTCTGTGAGAGACAGGGGGTGGCGCCGCAACCTGCCCATCGACCCTGCCTTGAGTGTGACAGGGGGCGGTGCCCCAACCCCCCTATCGGCCCTACCCTGAGCGTGACTGAGGGTGGCATCGCAACCTCCTGATCCGCCCTGCTCTGTGCATGACAGGGGCGGCGCCCCAACTCCCCAATCAGCCCTGCTCTGAGCCCGACCAGGGGCTGCACCTAGGGATTGGGCCTGCCCTCTGCCACCCGGGAGCAGGCCTAAACCAGCAGGTCGTTATCTCCCGAGGGGTCCCAGACTGCGAGAGGGCACAGGCCAGGCTGAGGGACCCCCTCTTCCCCCTGAGTGCACAAATTTTTGTGCACCGGGCCTCTAGTCTATATATATAAAAGGCTAACCATCTGACCATCTGACTGGTAGCTATGACATGCAATGACCACTAGGGGGCAGATGCTCAATGCAGGAGCTGCCGAACTGCAATGACTTGGCAACGGAGGTTCTCAGGTGATGCACCCTGGAACCAGAGAGGAGGGAGCCCGATTCTGGGGTGTGTTACCCGAGAACCACCCTCTCACAATCTGGGACCCCTGGGGGGATGTTGGAGAGCTGGTTTTGGCCTGATCCCTGCAGGTCAGGCTGAGGGACACCACGTGCTGGAGGGACCCCGCTCACTCTGCAGATGCCCTTTGAGCCACTGTGCCGCCCCAGGTGTGACTGGCCGGGGAGGGACCATGGGAAGTTGGCTCCAGGGCGTGTCTGGCCTATCTCGCCCAGTCCTGCCCTGCTGGCCACCTTCTAATTAATTTCCTTTCAATGTGCACAAATCTGTACGCCAGGGCACTACTTAACATATAACATTATCTTAGTTCCAGTTGTACAACATAATGATTTGACATTTGAATATGTTGCAAAGAATAATTGCATGTTTTGACCACGAGTAGCATATGTTGCAAAGAATAATTGCATGTTTTTGACCATGCCATGCTTAACTGTCCAAAGGAGATCTTTCAGGGCCTGGCCTTTAGTAATGTATGACTCCTGTCTGTTTTCTGGAGCTACGACAAAGAAAGAAATCTGTCTCTGGAGCCATCCCAGAACCTATATCAAGTTACATCCAAATCCACATTGCCTTAGTAGTTAGTCAATCACACAATGATGTGAAAAAAACAATATTATGCATTTAATATCATGTATTATACTACTTCTTCAACACCCATTCAAATACATGACTGCATTTGAATTGTCCCTCAATCCTGAGAGAGAAGGTAAGGCAAGCATTTTGATCCCCACGTGAAAGATAAGAATTCAAATTCAGCATAATTAGCTACATTGCCTAGGTTTGGAGAGTACTATTTTCTTGGATGTAAAAAGAAATTTAGAAACTTAGAGACTACTTCAAAGAACTTTTATCAGGAGCCAAGTTGAATATACACTATGGGTAAAAAGACGAGCTCAATAAAAC